ATATCCCCGCGGAACCAGATTGTAACGAGCGGCGCCGTTCTACAAACCGGCTGCTTAAGCAAAGCCTACGCAAGGATCGCGAGACATGGTGGTCTGAGCGTGCTTTAGAGATGGAGACTGCTGCCCTCACTGGTAACACTCGCAGGCTTTTCCAACTCATCCGGTCCACTGGCCTCAGGAAGCCTGGTGTCAGTGAGGTCATTTGTGAGGTGGATGAGTCTCCGATCACCAACCAACAGAGGCGTATGGACCGCTGGGTCGAGCATTTTCACTCGCAGTTCAACTGGCCTCCACCATCCATCAGTACATGCAGTACACCTTACTGTCCACCCTGGCTCGTCCCATTGAATCCACCCAGCGAAGCAGAAGTCTGCCTCGAGATTCGACGCTTGAAGCGCTTCAAGGCTGCCGGCTTAGACGGACTTCCTCCGGAGCTATTCAAGTATGGCGGTGTGGCAGTCATTAACCAGCTAACCGCGCTGTTCGCAAAAATTTGGCATGAAGAGAAAGTGCCTTCCTCTTGGGGCGAATCAATTATTGTCCCAATTTTCAAGAAAGGCGCTCGCACTTCATGTGCAAATCATCGCGGGATTAGTCTTATTTCGGTTGCCTCTAAGTTGTTGGCATCCATACTACTTCGTGGACTATCCCCAGTACGTGAATCATACTACCGTGAAGAACAAGCTGGTTTCCGTCCTGGCCGCGGATGCGTGGATCAAATCTTCACGCTCCGCCAACTCCTTGAACATCGCCACATTTATCACAGGCCCACTATCGTTGCATTCTTAGACATACGTGCCGCTTTGGACTCCGTTAATCGACCTGCTTTATGGCGTTGCTTACTAAAGAACGGGGTGCCAGAGAAATATACCGCCATCTTACGAGCACTTTACCTTCATACATGCGGCAGAGTGAGGGTCTATGGCAAGCTTTCCTCGCAATTCGCTGTCAATAGCGACAGGGCTGCCCTATGTCCCCATTCCTCTTCAACTTCGCAATCGAAGACGTTCTGTCGAATGCCCTAGAAGGTTTCCAACATTTTGGCCTAGAGCTTCTACCGGGTGAACGCGCGGCCGACTTAGATTATGCTGATGATATCGCCTTACTTGGTGACGATCCTCAGGGTATGCAACTCATTTTGGATCGTTTGGCGGTTGAAGCACCTAAGTATGGCATGAGCTTTGCCCCATCGGTGTAAAGTACTGCTCAAGGATTGGCTTTCACCTGCACCCGTGCTCACTCTCCAAGGTGCACAACTTGAACAGGTAGATAGTTTCGTCTACCTTGGGAGCTGTGTTTCCGCTGACGGCACTATCAACAAAGAAGTTTCGCTTCGTATCGCTAAAGCTCGATCAGCATTTGTCAATCTGAGGCACTTGTGGCGTCGTCGCGACGTCTCATTCTCACTAAGGGCCGAGTTTACAGCGCGTCAGTTCGCTCAGTATTGTTGTATGGGTGCGAGTCCTGGCCGATTCGCGTGGAAGCCATGCGTCGTCTTTCTGCGTTCGATAACGGTTGTTTAAGGAGGATCGCTCGTGTCCGGTGGCAACATCGAGTTACCAGTAATGACGTTCGACGTCGCAGCTTGGGGAATGCAAGTATTTCCTTCAACAAACTGGTTTTGTTGCGCCAGTTAAGATGGCTCGGTCATGTCCTACGCATGGCACCTGAGCGTCTACCGCGTCGCGCTCTATTCGCTCGTCAAGGACCTGGCTGGAAGCGACCGCGTGGTGGTCAGTCTTCCACTTGGCGGCAGCACATGAAATCGCTGACGTCGCTTCTAGCCGCTGTTGGACCCGTACGTCTTCCAGGATGGGGACCCAAAGATGAGGAGTGTCAATGGCTTAGGACTCTTGAAGACATGGCCCGCAACCGGAATCAGTGGAAGAATTGTGTACAGTGTTGTATTGATTCACATATTTAATTTTACTAATATTGAAAATGACAAAAAAAGAGAAAAATCGGCGTGTGACAAACAAACTAAAAAGGTTTTGTCCTGTATTTTTGCCAAAATATTCCATTTTCTTGCGGCTTATTAGCTGAAGTGTGTTGCCCACCTTCAACTAGCATGCCACGATGATTATAACGCAATGACTCTCCTATCCACTGATTTCCATGGTTTTTATTGGCTCTATGTCTAGTTACTAGACCGCTGAGATTACATACATATACATACCTACCTGCGCATCCATGACTCAATACCATAGCAGCGCAATACATTAACTATACGGAATGGTACATAGTAGCACGACACATGACAGATATGATATAGATAGATAGATAGATAGATAGATAGACATGATAAATACACGATACATGATAAAGTCCTAAGGACATCTCAGTTTGGTTATTGCAGCGTAACGAAAGCAGATCCAGCAATGTCACTGGGGAGACATAAGGTGGAGTCTGTAGGATTTGTGTTGAGGATTAACCATGGTTTCAGTCAGGCGAACTCAGCTATACCTTGTGCTATTTGAGTCGCCGCATCGCGATTGTATTGCTAGAGCGAACTCTACATTAGCCTCGCGAAGCTATGCCATCTCTACAACACTGTAGAAGTTAACTTCTACCAATCCACACCCACTAGTGTGGCGCTAAGCGCGCTGTCCCAAGTGTGGGTCATCTCACTGTTTTACCTACTGCACTTTGAATCACCAAGGAGAGTTCAGCACTTTGGTCGTAAACTCTAACATATGCATACCCATTACATGTGAAGAATATCGGGAACTGTTTGAAACATAAAAATAAAGAAGCACATAGGCCCGACCCTTTCAGAGCATCATTACGAGATAGGACACATTGGCCTATGATAAGCATCATCAACTCACGTAAGTTAGGGCACTGTTTTGACAACGTCCCTTGTTCCATTGGGTTATAAAGACCCGGAAAGTATTCAATATCTCGGAATATGTTTGAAACCGATTGGGATTTAATGATTTCAGAAGGTTTTAAATACAAATCGGTTTTGGTAGGGTTTTATTGTGCCACAATAAAACCCTACCAAAACCGATTTTTATTCAAAACTTTCTGAAATCATGAGACCCGGAAAGTACTTCGTTAAAAGGCATATTCTTTCGGACTATACCTTGGCAGATAAATGTTGGTTAGGCAACATGCGTTTCGGCTTCTCAGGTGGCTGAAGATGAGGCTGCACTTTGGGACTATTCTATATTTAGCAAAACTGTCGCCAGTCACCTAGCAATGCGAGACACTTACCACTTTCGTTGTCGGTCCCTTGTGTCCCTTCTCGCACCGGACCCAGATCACCACCAGATTGTCTGGATACGAGACGTAGTCCGGAGGGGGAGCATGTGTTGTCCAGATTCTCCGACGTTGACGTGAAGAATATACCACACTGTAGGCAATAAAAAATGGGACAGGGTTAGTCAATGAGGCAATGCAAAAAGTCGCTCATCGGATTTCATCTACACTCCCCTGGGGCGTCTGATGTCTAGACGTATGCACGGGTATACCGTCCAAGATTACTCCTAGTAAATCGTGCTTAACCCCGGCTGCGTTGTACTTAGCTGGTGAAGGGGTGGTCGATGCCCTGGCCGAATCGACGTTCTGTGTGGTCAGGGGGCGATTATCATAATAAGTTGGCTAGGCGGAATTCAACCCGCCATCACAGGGATTCTGGTATGAGCGTGTTGTGCATGTATGTGTGTGTGCGTGTGTGTGTGAATCCTGTGACTGTCCTATGGAGGCCGTCATGACAAACAAACCCGTAACCGGGTGCCGCCAACCATGTGCGTTTAGTGCGTACGTACGTGACTGCGCATTATCGCGGATTGCATCGATTCTGCCATCGCACACCATTATTTCATTCTGTACGTGACACGCCGTATGCTTGAGCCAAAGAGACATTCTCGTCTTGTCTAATGCTGTGGCATGGTGCTTGAGACACCACTTCGTTAAACATGGTCAAATAATGTGATATGCATGTGAGGGAACCACGAATTCAACCAGGAACAATTGGCAAAAACAGTCGAGAAGGCTCCATTACGGAGAGTGAAGTTACCTCAGTGTGGATGGATTGCGAAGTGTAATCACCATTTGAAGTTAGACCGCGTCAATGGAGCCTTACCTGAAGCAGCTAGGTGCTTTAACTATTGTCCAAGCGATCAAGTTGTCTAGGTTTCACTTTATAAGGAATCACCGTTCAGTTTGAGATTGCATCTCGCAATCCGATGGTACGCAAGGGGTGCATTCAATAGACACTTCTAATGGGCTTTTAAGAGTTGCGACGAGCGCAGCTAGGCCCAAAACAATGGCTTAGAGATGGGGGATTTGGATGACACCCGAATATCATTGGTTCGAATCGTTTCAGTGCATGATTGCACAGAGGTAAATAAATGTTCTACCCTGAGAAGTTTTAGATGACAAATGGGCTCTCTGTACCCAGATATGGTACAATAAGCAATATTTAAGGTGAAATTCATCAAAACCTAGCGCATTAACTGCCATTGCAACAGAAAGGGAATTTAGAGGCTGCTTTGACTCTCATAAACCTGGCGGTGCACAATTTCGCAAGCTCTTCGCACTCTCGAATTAGTATTTAGCCAATACTCCACCCGTTTCCACCACCACCGCATAATTGCTTATAGTGGTAAATAGTCTTAATTACCAAACTGTCTACGAAGGTTGTGCATATTTGGGGTGGAGGTGGGGAACCTATTGGCTGATGTCCAATTTCGTCATCCGGCATTTTACGTCTTTAGCTTTTGTGGTGTCCGAAGAGGCAGAGAACCGAGGTCAGACTCGAATGATTGTACGAACATAATAGAATTACGGAACAACGGCTTCAGCTTAAGATGACATGACTATGAATGTACGGCCAATTCAGACAATCAGAAACAAGGAAAGACCTAATCCAGTGACAATGGCAATGAGGCTGGTCCTTAACGTGGTGCGATGGTTTGTGTGCCTCAGTGATCCGTTGAGCTAGGTGGTGCTTTTGCACCTTCAGAGTCACTCATACCAGATTGGTCAATGGTTAGAGGCCAGACAAACTCAGCCTCCTGGTCCTCCAAGTTGGGGGTTGAAATGATGGTGGCACGTTATTCCTTAAAATGGACTTCTTTAGCCCAACACCAAACCCGCTGCCTTGAGGTTAGATTTTTGAACCAAAGGCTTTGGTTGAGAACCCTAATCGTTCTCTTGTCTAGGCCTGAGCAACCTGAAAGTATCCTGCCCACGCAATACAATGAATCGCTTCAAACAAATTTCTGATGCTCTGGCCACCGCAGAGAATAATCGACGGTGCCCTATCTGCTGCATCCAACAGGGTGGATAGGGGCTTGGATGCTACTGCCCAAGCCTTCCCGGCTCCTACTTCCCCTCATCCGTGTTTTCACCCTTACCATCCCGTTCCAACTTCACTTATATCCCCCCAGTTTTCAACCCACCCATTCTTGGCCCTGCCCAAACATGATTTGCTAGGCATTTATCTTCTAATTTCAACTAACACGTGAACGCGAAGCGTCACACCTCTCCTGTCGACAAGCCCATGTCCAACCAAGCGGTCCATTCCAGTTCATCGGCTGTCATTTGAAACCCTCGATCCTCCTTCAGATTGGCATGCCTCAATGTACGCACACTGCTACAAATCGGTCAACAGGCAGCACTTGCCCGAACATTGGAGACCCTCTCGATCGATATCTGCTGCTTATCAGAGACTCGCCTGCAAGACTCGAGCACTGTGCTCACTCTGCGATCCCCTTCAGGTGACGCAAGCAGTATTTTCTCATTGCGCCTATCCGGTGACGATGCAGCTTCGAGCACCGGCCAAGCTGGTGTTGGTATTGCCCTGAGTCCCCGGGCTGAAGCTGCTCTGGTTGATTGGATTCCAATCAGTAGCCGGATGTGTGCGGTCCGATTGGCTGGCTCGTTTAAAGCTTCGAAGTCGCGCGGGACTAATAGGTGTCTATTCATCATCGCTGCCTATGCGCCCACAAACTGTAGCGATGATTCGGTAAAGAACGACTTCTACCGCCAACTGACCCAGCTCCTTCGCCACAGAAGAAGCACGGACACTGTTGTGCTGGCGGGGGATATGAACGCACAAGTTGGAAAGTTGTCCACTGATGAACTGCATCTGGGCGGTCAACACGGTGTAGGCTCCCGTAATGATAACGGTGAGCGGTTACTTCATTTGTGTGAAGATGCTCGCTTATTTCTTGCGAGCACTAATTTCCGACACAGCACCCGCCGGAGGGTGACTTGGCGCCCACCAACCTCGAACCAGCCTTGCACGCAGATCGATCACATTGCGATAAGTTACCGCTGGAGAGGCTGCATCCAGAATTGTCGCTCGATTTGGAGCACATGTGTGGACACCGATCATGCACTTGTATGTGCTGACATGCGGATGCGTTTTGGCGGACGCCCACGACGACGCTGTGAGCGTATTGACACCAGCCAACTGACAAAACCAGCTGTTCTGAATGCGTATCGAAGTACGCTAACATGCGAGTTGAGCAAGCGCTCACAGGAGACAATTGATGGTCACTGGTCACATGTTCGCCAGACCTTACTAGCAGCAGGCAAATCCTCATGTGGTATGTCTAATAGACAACATGGACATTGGGTCTCTTCGCAGTCTCTGGAACTTATAGATGCTCGCCGGCAAATCCCGGCTGGAAGCGAGCACAATGAAACTCGCAAAGAGCTCCGGGCAAAACTCCGTGCTAGCCTGAAGAGAGACCGCGAATCTTGGTGGTCTCATCGTGCGTCAGAGATGGAAGTGGCCGCTGCCCTTGGCAACCATCGTAATTTATTCCGTCTGATACGGGAAACGGGTAGCAGGAGAATTGGTGTTAGTGTAACTGTACTTGAGGAGAGTGGACAGCCTATCCACAATTGGCCAAAACGTTTGGAGCGTTGGGCTGAGCATTTTGAAGAACATTTTAATTGGCTAGATTTGTTCGATTCTTAACCGGGCAGTGATCGCCCTGCTCCGTTGGCTGTCCCTTTGGCTCCACCCTCTTGCTCAGAAGTCAAACTTGAGATCGGACTGTTAAAGTTGAACAGAGCCGCCGGACCAGATGATCTCCATCCAGCCCTCTTCAAATTCGGAGCCTCTGCTCTTGTTGAGGATTTACATGAATTACTAGTGAAACTGTGGGAGCAGAAAACTGTCCCCACCGACTGGAGGCGCTCCGTTATTGTTCCCATCTTCAAAGGAGGCTCACGTTCGGAATGTGGCAACCATAGAGGAATCAGTCTGATCTCCATCGCCTCCAAATTACTCGTCTCCATATTCATTCACAGACTGACTGACGCTCGTGAAAGCCAGATTCGTGAGGAGCAAGCTGGATTTCCTCGGGGTCGTGGCTGCATCGACCAAATCGTCACCTTGCATCAGTTGTTGGAGCACTGTCCCACACATTGGCGGCTCACCGTAGTCGTGTTCCTCGACATCAAAGGTGACTACCATTCGGTTGATCGATGTGCCCTTTGGAATTGTTTACTCAGGAAAGGTGTGCCCGAGAAATATATAAATATTATCCGATCGTTATACACGCGTAGCTCGGGCAGAGTGAGGGCTTACGGCAAATTTTAGCCACCCTTCAATATCTCCAGCGGTGGGAGACAAGGATGCCGGTTGTCACCTTTCCTCTTCGACTTCGCTATTGAGGAAGTCAGGGAGATTGCATTTACTGGACAAGGCAGAACGTGTGGAGCTACTCCCAGGAGAACGACGTCTTGACTTGGAGTACGCAAACGACAATGCCCTCATCTGTGGCAGCTTCCCGATGTGCCAAGCCGCGCTGGACAGATCAGCACTGGCTGTCAGCCGCTTTAGGCTTTGCTTTGCACCATCGAAATGCAAAGCGTTCCTCCAAGATTGGCAGGGATCGCCCCCTGTGCTGACCCTTGGTGAGGATCAGCTAGAAGTCGTTCGGTAATTCAACTACCTGGGAAGTTGTATCAGCGCCCGTGGGATCGAAGATGAGATCACGAACAATATATCAAAAGCTGGAGGTGCTTTTGCTAACCTTCGCCACCTTTATCGGCGGCGCGACATCACTCTCGCCCTGAAGAGTAGAGTGTACAATGCAGTGGTACGTTCGACCTTACTGTACGGCTGCGAAACCTGGCCCCTAAGATCGGCGGACCTGAAGAGGCTATTTACGTTCGACCATCGGTGCCTTCACAGTTTGGCTCACATCTGGTGGGAACACCGCGTGAGCAACGAGCGTGTTCAACGCCTTGTTTACGGCACAGGAAAAGGAACTGAACCGCTCAGCACCGTCATTTCACGCACCCGACTCCGATGGCTCGGTCACGTGTTGCGCATGCCAGCCCACCGACTTCCACAACGTGCGTTGTTTACGTGCCGGGGGATGGATG